GGGGGGGGGGGGGGGGGGGGGGGGGGGGGGGGGGGGGGGGGGGGATGGCATTCTCCATCGTCGTCGTCTCTCGCTCTCTATCTCTCACCCACCAGCTATCGACCAAAAACTATCAATCAAAAGAGTAACAAGAGATCACGACAACCACTCTAAAACCGTCATCATCAATCATCAATCATCTCATCTCAGCAGCAGCAGCATGAGTAGCAGCAGCAGCAGCAGCAGCCGAAACAACAGCAGCAACACCGCCCAAAACACAATGGCACCCCCCCCGGGAGGGAAAGGAACGATTGGCCATCGGTGATCGGTCCTGTGGGAACAATGCTCCGTCCTCTCGGGGACGCGTGGTCAATGGTCTAACCGCTAAGACATGCAAAACAAAAGAGTACGCCGCCCCCCCCCCCCCCCCCCCCCCCCCGCCCCCCCCGGTATTTACCGTCGGGGTTGGTTTTCGTTGCTTGGCAGCGATGTTGTAAACAAGCGGATCACTTCGTGAGCTCAGCAACCAGGGTACCGCTTTTTTTTTTACTTTTTTTTTTTTTGCGGTAACCGTGAATGGTGGTCGAGTAGGTCATGTTGTGCGGGGTCGAGAACCCTAACTTCGGGCAAAGGGGATGATCGCACCACGTTGTGTTTAATTGGTCAAGCGNTCTCACGGCGCTTCGCGCTTGGTGATGTGAGAGCCTGGTCCGGTGAGAACCCGGCGTGCTCCGTCCCGGCTTTGTAGGGATGCGAGGTCAATGGTCTAACGACTACGGCATGCACGACTATGAGTACTATGACTATGAGTACCCCCCCCCCCCCCTCCAACAACCAGACATGTACCACACAGCAGTGAAAACAACCTAGCGTAGAAGTACAACACTAGCTTATACCAGTTCCTCCCTCGCTTACCCAGTTGGCTAGGAGGAAAAAGCGCAGCCCGAACTGAAACGTCAGCGAGGGGTGGGCCCTGACGTACTCCGCCATAGTCTCCCGAGGCCGCGCCGCCCGGCTGGCCGCCGCCTGCGCCGCGACGTGCTGCTTCTGCGCCTCCAACAGGTTCTTGCGGAGTTCTACGCTACCGGGTTCTCGCTCCAGCCCTAAGGGGACCGTTCCGCAGAAAGGGATCCTTGCTCATTTCTTCAGGGAGGGTAGGGGAAGAAGGCTGGGGCTACACCTACAATCAACTTGGTAGGCATCTATATTGCTCTGAACCACAAACTGCAGGCGAGGGTGGGGAAAAGACTACGGAATTCGCATGTACAGGAGAGGAGCGAATGGCAAGTGGGCCTGGGGAGGGGTAAGTGGGCAAGTTGGGAATGGAATGTACTCGTGGGTTCGTCAATGAACGCGCTAGAAAAAAACACGGCGAATGCATCAGACGTACAGTACAGTTGTCCGGATACGTCCGTCTGTACTCGCTCCAAAATACCCGTCCAGCTATCAAATCTCCTAGTATATTCGAGACTCGCCTCGCCCCCGCCACAAGCTTCGTCGCGTGTGGAGAAAACAGCGGCAGCCACCACAGAGGGATCTTGGAAGGAGAGACTCCAATCTACTCGCGATTGGAATACGCCACGGCTGCGTTGTCGTACTTCCTATGGCGGAGGCGCTGATCATAGCCCCCCACGTGCACAGAGGCGACATGACCAACCTGTACTGACCCTATTGTGGACCGACCCGGCACGAACTCTGTTGTAGCCGCGTAAGAGTAATAAACGCTATTGACTCACCCTTCGAGTAGGCGGCGGCCGCCTTGTCGTGCCTCCCGAGGCGGAAGAGCGCGGTTCCCATCCTGGAGTAGCCCTTCGCCCAGGAAGGGTTGACCTCCACGCACCTCTCCGCGTCCATGAGTGCCTCCGCTGCCTTGTTCTGCCTGCACAGTGTGCAGTAAGCATGTTGGATTAAAGCAAAGGCGGCGTCCTGCCTCACAGGATTGATTCGTCTTGACGACAAAAATATCAACAGCAACAACATGGGGTGTTCCTGTAGGCACCTACCCGTCTTCACCGAATGGGCAGCAGGGGGGAGGGGGGCGTGGGGGGGGGCGCATCACTTCGAGCTCGTCGTGCGGGCAGAGGAGAAAACGGTCGCGCCGAAACCTTGGCTCAGCCAAACTGCTACTGGCTCCGTGTATCCTATCAGGCCCAGCGGTAGCAGAGGGCACGGTTCAGTGATCACACCATATACCACCAGCCTATGTATTTCTCCGACCAGCGCATGTACGCTTTGGATGGACCATCAGCCAGATTTTTCAGGGCTTCCCACGAGGCAAATACTAGTCTTTCGTTTGCGTAACCCGTTCCCCCCCATCCGAAATCGATCAACAACATCGTCTGGAAAGTAGCGCTGCCAGCTTCTCCTCCACGCCGTCGATTCCGTCTCGAAAAGGACTACAAGGAAGATTGTGCTCTCCGTGTCTCTCAGATAAGATGCGTCGTCCGCGATCCAAACGATCTATGCGATTGCCTAGCGTAGGTGACGTACGATATCACACCCCCTGGGCCGTTTTTCAAAGCTCCACTACTCCACCAAGAAGAGGGTGCAAAACTGAATTGATGCGTTTTCGGAAAGATCTCGACGAAACGGTTCCAAATCCGCCCTTTTTCGGCACCTCCACTTATCCTACTGTGTTGTAGTCGATCTTCGAAAATCTGTCCGGGGGCGTCACATCTCGTGTCAGCCTATGGCACAGGCGAGGCCGGCCACCATGAGTGCCTGTCCCTGCTCAGTGGGCGATGCGCTTGCACGTACACGCATACCAACACGTATTCTAACCCTCTCCGCCCTCCCAAGTCCGAAAAGAGCATATACTCCCCCGTCCACTACCCGCTGCCTGTGTTCAAGGCTCTCTCACTTGAGGAAGGCTGCCGACCGGTTGCTGTAGTGAACGTGGAGCTGCCCGCTGGTGTTATCCATGTCAAGTTCGATCGCCTGAAGGGAACACGAAAGGGAAATTGAAGGGGGTACTACGAACAAACTCGACGTATGGCGGGAGAAATGCCCACTCAACACCATGCGGGTCCAAGGGCATGAGGACCTCGGAGCGCCCGCATCTCTACCAGCCCAGGAGGAAGCAATACATCGGGTTTTCGCCCACGGTGCAGGCGATTGCGAGAGAGGGAGGTGAAGGTGACACGGTTTCAGCGCCGCAGAACGGGAGGCACCCCGGGCATCTACGTCAACGAATGCGGCTCAACGCGGGGTTCTTGTACCGACACCCTGACCAGGCCAGAGGCGCAAGGCGTAACATGGCGTGCAACAACGACGTCAAGTGCTGACGTGTCTGTAACGTTATAACATACACCGCCGAGTGCTGCTCGCAAAATTCTCTTGACACCAGCCTCAGTCACTCCGTTCCTCTGTCTCTGCAATCTCCAACGTCCAACACCTATCTAGTCGGGTACTGCAGAGAGACGGGTGAATGGTACACGTAGAGACCCCCCTCCCTCTCTCCGTCAAACTCCTCCTTGGCACAGACATTGATTGCTGTAGGTAAGACCGACCTTCGAAAAACAGACGATGGCCCCATCAACATCGCCAGCCTTCCAAGCTTCCCCACCTCTGGCCTTCGCCTCCTGCACGAGGAACCGGGAAAATAGAACAATACACACACACACATATATTACGAGGTTTTCATTAATCAAGCGGTTAGCGCGGTCGATGCTGACTATTAATACGCAAGCGATATGCTGTTGCGCACTCGGAACGCTCCACAAGAGAAAAAATATTTCTGAGGCCTATCCACCTAATTAGGGGATCGGGGAACTTCATCAACCCCCAGAATGAAGGACCAAGAGCAATTCGATGCATTCCTTGCGAGGCAGCCGGTGTCAGTGAGGAGCTTGTTGCGGTATGCAGAGCTGCCGGCGAGGCAGAAGCCAAGGATCACTGTTGTGCCCCAACGGAGAACACGCGGAGGCTCCGTAATGTTGGTACCGCCGGGCAAACGAAACGCGCTACAGATTCATGATCACCCTGTGAAGCGGTCCATAGCGTCGCGAAATCTTCTATTCAGGGTACAGAGGGGTCCCTGTGTTGTGCCGGTTGAATGAGTGCCAATGCCCGAATTAGCACCGGTGTTTTCGGCGGGCACACACTGAATTTCCAAGTCATCGTCAGTTTTGCATGCGCCGGTGAATTTTTCCGGTACATTGTACCGGCGCTAAACAGGCACGCCCTCTGTGTTGCCGCTAAACCTGGACCACCACTGCCGTACAGTCATGGTCCTGGTTTAGCGGTCCATAGTGTCACACAATGTTACGACCGATTTTGAGAGCATCGCTGCTAAACCGGATTGGCAGTTATTTTGTAGTTTGAATACTGTACCGAGGTGCACCCGTGCCACGAGGTTTTGGGACCGCCATTCAGGGCAGCATCACGCTAAACGGGGAACTGCTCAACCGGGACCACGACTACCGTACTACACTATTGTATACTTATGCCAGCTTCCTGCAAGTAAAATGCGCAGCATTTTTCGATCCAAAGCAAGACGTCTATAACTCTCCTACAGAGAACTCGTCTTTGAGAGCAAGGAGCACCTTGGTTCAAGATGAAAGCTACAACGGCATCCTGGTTTTCACTCCGGGATTTGCTGTTTGGATTTGGATACGAACGGTGGGTATCACCTGGTGCAGAAAACCGCAAATTGTACGTAGACACGGCTGGGCGGCGTATAGCTTCTGCATCATGCCGTGGGACAAGAGGTTAACTGGGTCTGGTTTATTCATTCAAAGATTGCAAGCCAGTGGCGTCGAGTGCAACTCAGTATCACTGCTCTGTACAGCAGTAAAATGGTGGTTGTTCGCGAAGAGTGCGGGCTGACTGATTCCACAAGATGGCGGAGATGCTGGTATAGTATGGATGTCGGGGTTCCACGATAATCAAAACGGAGCTTGACGGCTGACCTCCGACGACAGGCGCATGTCGCTGTGTCGCCGAGACTGGGTAATGAGCGGCGTGCTCATCGAGAACCACAAGAACCTAGCAAGAGATACGAACCACGCAGGCAAACCGGCTGCGTGTAGACCAGCACGCAAGAAAGACCCAGAGGCATGTAGTTCACGGAGTATAAACAGGCCGTGCATTAAAAGCGTGGTGCGATTACCACACGTATAGCACTCTAAACGTCGTCGATGTTGGTGTGGCGCACAGGGGCGCACGCATCCCTCACGCTACTGCTTTCGACTTCCGTGTATCGCGTATCCAACGCAAAGACAAAGCGACCAGTTGCGCCGACATCTTTCGAACCGGGTGGTACAATATCTCGGGGGTACAAATCTTCTCTTGTTTGACACGCTACCAATGCAACCGACGATACACGTTGCTCACATCAGCTGTCGTCACGTCATCACAGCTCATTCTTGCGCGCGTCGTGCTCTTTCCCGCGTCTTGCATGTGCGTTCACTACCTTGTCGCACAAGAGAGAAGAGTGGGGTGTGCGGTGGGGCGGGACACACTTTAGGTTGGGGGGCCATCAGAATGGCTCTATGAACAGCGTACCATACATCATTCACGGAGCCCCCGGGAACACTAACACGTGGATTCAGGCCATCGGCCATGACATGATTCTGTAGGCTGTGGGTGTGACTACAGTACTGCTGTCACGACCACCCGGCTGCTTGCAAGGTGGCCAGGACAAAGAATCTTCCAACGAGTCTTCAAGTCTACACCATCGCGAGCTATACCATGCACATCTACCCAGAGCGCAGCCCGGTGCATGGCCTGGAGTGCGAGATTTTCAAACTTGTTGCGTACAGCGCCACGCCCCAGCAGTGGGCAGAGTGGCTTCGAGTGCTGCTGTAGCATGCTGCCGCCAGAGGGAATCTGGACCTCTTCAACCCACTGCTCAAAGCTGGATCGAATGGTCGTGAGGGATGGAGGGGGTGCCGCAGCCGAGCTCTTATCGACGCAGCTGCTCTCGGTGGGAACGTCGATATCTTCTTCCCTGCTCCGCACAGCTCAGCCGGACGTGAACGTGGTGTCGGTGGCAAGCAGGAGGTCTGCTCTCTACACGGCCACTTTGTGCGGCCACGAAGACGCGGCCAGGCGTTTGGATCTTGCCGGTGCTGATTTGAACTTTAAAGACCATGTGCAGAAGAGCTCCGTCATGTACAAAGCTGTGCTGTATGGGCACCACATGCTCGTAAACCTCTTGCTGGCGGGATTGGATCTGAACTTCTTGGGAACTGGATCGGGGGGAAATACACCCCGCCACCTGGCTGCTCTCGAAGGGATGGACGAGTTGGTGTCTAGCCTCTTGCTCAGGGGGGCGGACAAAGATGCTCTCAGCGTCCTAGGCAAGACACCGCTGATGCTTGCATCCAGGTGGGGTCACTCGTCTGTCGTGCATACTCTGTTTGCTGCTGGTGATGATGTCACTGCCGTGGACCCGCCCGGTCGCTCGGCCCTCGGATATGCCGCTCAAGGTGGATACGTTGACGTGCTAGAAGCCATCATCGGACATGGGGCAGACGTGAACGCCCGCGGCGATGTGAACGAGACCGCACTTCACACCACTGCTCGCCGCGACGGGTCGGGTGCCGTAAACGCACTGATCGAGGTTGGGGCTGATATCAACGCGAGAGCGCACGATGGGACAACACCTCTCATGTATGCGGCGTTGTTCAACAGGAGGGAATCTATGCTTGCCCTCTTGGAGCGCGGCGCTTCCTTGGCAGGGGAAGAAAGCGACGGAAATACGGCGCTGCACAATGTATGCCGTGAAAAGTCCAAAGGCGTCGCGGTGGTGGTGGACCTCCTCTTACGATGGGGGGGGGGGGGGGGGG